TATATACGCAAGAAATATTACAACAAAATAGATATTCCCTGCTATAATTCTCTATTTAGCTGCTGTTGGTAGTACCCAGGCATCACCAAATGTAACAAAATCTAGGAGACAAAGGGCAGAATCCCATTCACCAAGTAAACACTGCTAGATCATCTGCCAAGTCTCAACTTTAACAAGGAAACAAGAACCTGTCATAAGATATCAATGAAAAGGGTACTGGTTGGTTACTTTGCAGAAGGAATAGGATCTCTGATGTAGAACCAACCAGAGTGTCTTGGGCTGTATTTGGGCATAACTGCCTGTTTATCAGCACCCAGCAGTAGGGACGGGGCTGAGTCACATGGCTGCTTACCTCAATCAGAGAACAAATGTGCTTTGTCTCGACATAGTTTTAGCTATTGTAATTAAGATTTTATTTCTACAGGAAGTCTTCTTTGCCCAATTCAGAGGTTTTTATGATTACTAACCAGCCGAAAGACTTTATGGGTAACAGCGAACACAAAAATCCTGCCACCTGGGAAGAATTATTGAATAACTTGCATTTATATTTCAGTGGCAGCACACCTGGCTGTCTTTTTATTCTTTATTTCATTGAATGAAAGAAATTAAATACAAACTGACTTATGCATAACCGGTAACATTCAAAGAAACTAATTTACTTTTCCAAAGAATTTAGAACTCCAAATTGCTGACTTTTCATTTTCTAAGAATTCCTTTTCTGATTTGCTGTTTCATACACAAGCAATTCATATATCTTTTACTTAANCAAACATCTCTTTCTCTTTGAAACCTTTCTAAACATTTCACACTCAGAGTAAGGATTAGCTATTCTCTCTTTTAAGCCTTCAATGGTCTCTATATGAATGTCTATCATAACATGCATAAGACAAGGGTACATCAAAAAGTTTGTGGAATAATTTTTAATTTTTATTCTTTTTAATTCAATTTTCCACAAACTTTTTGAAGTACCCTCATATATATATATATTTTTTTTCTTATCTTTTTTTTTTTTTTACTAATGAGTATATTCTAAGATTTGTGGGAAGGGAGAGGGAAGGGACTGACCCCACAGCTGGCTTCTGGCTCTGGCTCAGGCATAGTTGTGGTAGGCAGTGGGTGGGGCTAAGGCCCATGGCCTGCTGCCTCAGGACCCTGGGGGCTTCTCTTCTAGGTCCCAGGCTGAGGGAGTTCCATGAGGGAAGTTCCAGTCCAGCTTAGCTGCACTGTCACTGCTCCCGCTGCCACCATCTTGGAGCAATGATTGCCAGGACGGCAGGCAGGGAGCAGGAGTAAGAGGGGACCATGATGGTCCTGGAGAGCGAGTCAGTCTACCCTCCTATTTTAATGCCTTTAGGATTTTATATGTCGATTAGCTTAGTCTTTTAAATTCATGTTCCTTGAGAAAAGTGATTATATTTTGGTGTCTGTGCATAATGGCTAGAATACAGAAAACAATGTTTGGTAGTTGAATAAATACACTATAATAGGGTTTCTCGAACAGGCTTGGCAAAATTTCCGTCTTATGTCTTATGAGTTGCTCAACAAAAATTGTGTTCTATGACCAATTAAATATGAGAAATACTGCATTCAATAAACTCTTCTTAGAGATCTGCAATGCACTTTGGAGTATCAAAGATATTGAGAAGTAATAGAAACAGAAACCTGTCTTCTTAAATTATCGCATCCCATGCTTGTAATCCACTTATAACTCCTATTAACATCCTATAGAACTAGTATTCTGAGTAACAAGGGTTTAGAAACACTGTATTAGCTGATAAAATAATTTTGACAAGGCTTAGATATCTATAATACCTGTCTCATAACTAATGACTTATGGAAAATTCTGGAACTTAAATTTTACATCATTCTATTAAATGTAAGTTATATACGCAAGAAATATTACAACAAAATAGATATTCCCTGCTATAATTCTCTATTTAGCT